GCCACCTTAGGTGTACGTGGCTGGCGCCTTAGCCGATTGAGCTATAGGCGCGGAGCCTCCTCTTTTCTTTACAAATTATCCAGCTTCAGGTAAAAATTTATAGCAACGCTGAATAGACTCACACAACCCATATAAATGTATGAGAGTCTCTGGTCCCACAGCCTTGCCAACAGAGTATATGGTCACTGTTTGGATTTTTGCTGACTTGACAGGTGAGAAATAGTATCTCAGTTACCATTTCTCATCATGAGCAAGGCTGAGTAGCTTTTCATATAGTTAAGTGATCTGTGTGGATTTTTAAAAATATAATAATTTTAGAATAGTTTTAGATTTACAGAAAAATTGCCAAGATAATAGAGTTCCTGTATACCTCACACCCGTTTCCACAAGTGTTAACATCTTGCATGTACTATAGTACATTTGTGATAGTTAGACCATATGGGTACATAATTATTAACTAAATTCTATACTTTATTTGGATTCCATTAAACTCTAACTTTATTTGGATTCCATTTGTCTAATATCCTTTTTCTGTTCCAGGATCCCCTCCAAGATGTCACATTCCATTCATTCATCCTGTCTCCTTAGCCTCTCTGCTCTGAAACAGTTACACTGAACTTTCTTTGTTTTTATTGATCTTGATGGTTTTCAGTACTGGTCCAGAATTTTTTTAGACTGTCCCTCAACTTGGGTTTATCTGATGTGTTTCTTATGGTTTTTATATGAAAGACCACACTGGAAGAGTCATTCTCAGCACGTAACAGGGGTACATACTGTGAATGTGATTCATCACTGTCGATGCTGAAGGAGCATTCTTGGAAGGCAACTTTCCCATTTACTGGTATCTATCCTCCCTCCCCTCTCCCAAACCAGGCACATCTTGTTGCATAATCTCAGATTGTTAAGGTCTCTAGATTTTGGCTTTAATCTTGTAAAATGATTCACTTAAACCAGGGCCACACAATGTGAATATTTAAATTCATGAAGTCTTGACACTATTCAAAAGCATAAGTTCCTTTATATCTTATGTGTACTATTAGGTTATTAAATATGAAATGTTGGCTCGGCGCCTATAGCTCAACCGGCTAAGGCGCCAGCCACGTACACCTAAGGTGGTGGGTTCGAATCCCCAGCCCAGACCCGCCAAACAACAATGATGGCTGCAACCAAAAAATAGCCGGGCGTTGTGGCAGGCGCCTGTGGTCCCAGCTACTTGGGAGGCGGAGGCAGGAGACTCGCTTGAGCCCAGGAGTTGGAGGTTGCTGTGAGCTGTAATGCCACGGCACTCTACCCAGGGGGACAGCTTGAGGCTCTGTCTCAAAAAAAAAAATAAATAAATAAATAAATAAATAAATATGAAATGTTTGATTTCCTTAAGAACTAAGTTTGACAACTGATATCTGATATTTCTCTTTGACTCTTTTTATTTTTAAGGTACACCTTCATTCTCACACACACACATTTTGGTTTGTGATTACCTTTTAAAAAATTTTGGAGCAATTTTTGTGAAACCATAAAGTAAGTCAAAAATTTCTATTGTTTTTGAATATGAGTTCTTTCTGTCATGGAACCAGTGTTGCGCAGATAGCTAATACTATCAACACAGTTGTTAGGGAAGGATGTGGCTAATGAACTCAGTACGTTGATAGTTTGAGGAATACCCTTTTGGTGATTAATCTTGAAAATGAGCGACGTGGGCAACCTGAGACCAAAGTGGATAATGAGCTAAAAGCTGTAGTGGAAACAAATCCCTCTCAACCTGTATATGAATTATGGAAGGTTTGACATTACTATTCTAACAATTTTGGACCATCTGAAACAAATCAGTAAGTTAAAAAATCTGGATAGATGGGTTCGACATAAAGTAAATGATCATCAGAAGAGAAATTGTCTGAAACCTTGCTTTTCTTTGCTGCCACTACATAAAGGCAAACCATTTCACACCCTATTGCTCCATGTGTATGAAAAATGGATACTTCTTAACAATTGTAAGCATTCAGCACAACCATTGGATAAAGATGAAGGGCCGAAATACAGCTTAAAACCATTCATTGGTCAAAAAAATCTAATGGTGTCTGTTTACTGGTCCAGCGCTGGTATTATCCACTACAGCTTCACGAAACTTCCATCAGTTGATTACAGTGAATGAAATGATGAGGATGCTTGTGATTAAGTTACCAAGACTGGTCAATAAAAAACAGGCTAATCCTCTTGCCAGACAACGCTGTTGCACAAACAATGCTGCTCAAACTACAGAAGCTGGACCTGGACACACTCTGTCATCCATCATTTTCACCAGACCTTGCATCAACTCATACTGCTTCTTTCAGGCTGTGTACCATTTCTTGCAAAGAAAAATACTCACTTCTCAACAAGCTATGGAAAACACCTTTTACAATTTCATTGCCCTCATTCTCCACGCTTCTTCACTGCTGGCATACACAAGTTCCTATTAAGATGGCAAACTGTTGACAGTTTAGGCACATACATTAATTGTACTGCTTGAGATAAACTTCTGATTTGAAATTGGACATTTTAGATTTAATAATACATTCTGTTAAATATGATCTTGATAATTCTGTCAAACGGACACATACAAATTGCAATTTATTTGTTTTTTTTTGAGACAGTCTTTGTCACCCCAGGCAGAGTACCATGGTGTCATAGCTCACAGCAACCTCAAACCCTTGGGCTCAAGTGATCCTCTTGCATCAGCCTCCTGAGTAACTGGGACTACACCACACCACGTGACTAGTTTTAAAGACAGGGTCTCTGTCTTGCTAAGGCTGGTCTCAAACTCCTGAGCTCAAGCAATCCACCCGCCTTGGCCTCCCAGAGTGCTAGAAGTGTGAGCCACTGTGCCCTGCTCTTAAGTTATTTTTAGTATAGTCTTGTTGGTCCCAGTGGGTGATTTGAACTCCACGTGACTCAAAGCTTTTAGCTAATCCAATCAGGGAACAGACAATTTTATGGGGGAAACGACTTAGATGAGTTCAGGTGCAGTTAATTCACCTGTACACATGAAATGAAGTCAC